TGAATCATCAGGCAGGAGCCTTGACTGGTCTGGTGTCCTCTATCAGACTTACTATTGGAACAGTAATGCCCACATTTTAACTTCCTATGGTTTCTTGCCTTTGTAGCATCCTTAGACCCCGCAAACACTGATGCCCCTGCCACAGCCACAGCCACAGCCTCAGCCCCTGGCCTAGCCCCAACCCAGCCCTGCCCAAATCCAACCCCAGCCTCACCCGTGCCCATGCCAATGCCCATGCCAATGCCCATGCCCATGCCCATGCCCATGCCCCTGCCCCTGCCCCAGCCCCAGCCCCAGGCCAGTCCTAGCCCCAGCCCCAGGCCAGTCCTAGCCACAGCCCGGATTCTCTCAACCTCAGCCCCAGTCCCCAAACCCAAGCCTCTTCTCCCTAGAGACATTCCAATCTTCATTGATTGAGTGCTAAAAATGCAGTGCCCGTAACTCATCTTGGCAAACTGAGCTATCCTGTCTCTATCCCCTCCATGCTCATTGCCTGAATCACAATTTTCACTTAATGCACAGAGTCCTTCCTACTTCTCCACGGACTCAAAGTATTATAACAAAGAACTCTTGTCCCTCATGTTAATCAAGAAACGCCAACTGAACAAGAGTTTCATTTCAGAGAATTACCATCAAGGTACCATCTCCTAAATCTCCTTTCTTTAAGGAAGGAAAGACCATTCTGTCATTGCTGCAGTAGTCACAGTTCCAACTTTCTGAGCAGTGCTCAGTAGCCTTGTCTCACACACTGTCTGGAGTACTCTTTGCACTGAGTAATTCATATTGTCCATAATTTATCCACTGGATTAGACCCCAGCTAGTCCAGCCCCATTTGCGTTCAGCAGAGGGGCAGACACAAATCTGTTAACAGACAGTTAAGGTGCTCAGTCCCAGTTTTCAGGGCCTTGACTATTAAGGGGGCCACTATATCCTGTTTGCATGGCATCATGGGTGCTATCACCCCAGGTTATATCTTTTAAATTGATGATGGACTTAAATTCATTTGTCCATGGTATTGTGTACTAGTCCCATCAGCTCCCCTTATTTCAGATTTTAGCCGAAAACTCTGCACTGGGACAGTTTATGTGGATAATCCTGATGAGGAAGTGAACCTTTTCTCAAAGTCCTTGTACAACCTTAGCTTTACGTTAAGAGGGTGCTTATTACCTAAAATAAAGCCTCTTATACAAATATACAAAATTCTAGTCGCTCAAGTCTCTGTTACTAACCAAGATCCCATACCCTCACACCCCAATGGGTGACAATGGGGGTGAGGGGACAACTGACAAGGCCCCCTTCTTTGTTCTGGTCTTTTGGCTGTGCTTGGGATCAAACTAAGTTTTGTGCGTGCTAGTAAAGCACTCTGCCATGGAGCTACAGCTCCACCTTGTGGCTGTTTGAGAATAAGCACCTTTATGTAGCTCGGGGCTGGCACTTAGTTCTTCTGCTTCTCGGTCCCAGTTACTGCAACTCCGGGCATTGCCACCACTTCTGCCTGTCTTTATGTGCACATTTGCATTTGTCCCTCTTCCTGAGCATTGGATAAAGAAACCAAACTCAGTCATTTCTTTATTTAGCAAGACCTTTGAACTTAGATTCAATCTGTTCTGTTCTTAATTTCCAGGCTGGCCCAGAACTTACTTATATAGCCCAGGCTGGCCTTGAGCTCAGGATCAAGCCTTTACTTCACAAGTGCTGGCATAATTGGTGTCTACCACCATGGCCTGCAGTCTCTCAGGCTGTGATGTGCATACTTCATTTTGCTGTAGCAGTTAGTATGCACTGGGTAAAGACCTTAACCGTTCATTTGTATTGTGGCAGGAGGTTAACTAGTACTTAATTAAGATCCTTAATAAGGTAAACGTGCACAGTGTTAATTGTCTCGAACATATTATGTCCACAGCTGCGCCTTTTAGATCAGGACCCCTGTACGTACCAAAACAAAGAGGCTCACTAACACTATAGTCTCTTTCTTGAAACTTATGATTCCAATATTGCCAATGGTCCTTCACTTAATGGAACTATATGCTGCTCACTTAATGCTTTCTCAACCTGCTAATGTCCATAATGGCAATTTCAGAAGGATCAGTTTTACTCTCACTTTGAAGTACAGCAGTGGTGTTGACCTATAAGGTCCTATTTTGTGGCTTGCTAATAATGTCTGATTGTATTTGTCCTTTTCTGTTTGCTACAGAAGGAAATCATTCCTCACCCTTATGCCTTTCCCTTTCATCAGGGAATGCACATCTCCAAAGATCCTTATGTTTGAATAGTCAAAGTATAAAACTATAATGGCCACAATCATGCACCTTGAATATTAGTGGGCCATAAATGGCACATGACTCATTCCATTTGAATAAGATCTTACTCTCAGACCCTTTTGCAGTACAGCAAGGGTCACTAATCTCTTGACTTCTCCATCTTCCTGGACACTGGATAAGGATATCTTCTCCTTTCCACTGCCTTTGATTCCCAGAAGTGTCCATTACTTTAAGATCTTAATATTGTATAAAGGGTGTGGTTTTAATTAACCACACTCTGTCCCTTGAACATTAATGTACATAATAGGGACATGATTCATTCATTTTAATAAAAATATTTGGACGGTTATCCACAGCCTTTGAGGACCATTGTATCTCTTGCACTGCTGCAGGGGATACTGTTTTCCCAAGGTCCCGGTAGTGGACCATTAATATACAGTGGAAATTATCCTTTGTCTTTGTCAGTAGACAAAGTCATACTCTTTCATTTGCAGTATGGCAGGGTATGCTGATCAACCAAGGCTGCCTTCTTTTGGACTGTTAGTATGCATTGTATGTTTTATTATGAATATGCATTTTCTCCTGCCCTGTGCACTAGAAAAGGATCCCACTCACTTCCTTATCTCCTTCAGCAGGAAGTAGAAAGTTCACATGCAGTGTCTAAACACTTCTTGTATCAGAAACCTTGTACCCTCTTCCTCTGCTTTAAAGCAGAAAGAGGCTTTTACACTATGCCGTTCATTTGGACTTCAATGTGCATTAATGCAGTTGTCCATCCTTACCTTTGGAGTAGGATTTACATCCTTATACTCCTTTGACATCAGAGGCATGTTAACTTTTTTTGAGCACTTCTCTTATTATATATATTTATATTAATATGTATGCTTACACATATGGACTTGTGTGGCAGAAAAGGTTCCTAAGTTTCTACCTTTTGACTGGGGCTGCTGAGGAGTGGTTAATTGTTTATAACCTCAGCATCTGGATGATTACAATGCAACAATGTCAGTGGTCGAGAGTACTGATTACTAGTTGGACCTCTGTACTCTCTTTGCATACCATCAGGGATACTGACCAACTAAGCCCCCGAATTGTTAATGTGCATATTTGTAATTACAAATGCCTAGAATATTATGTTCTCATACTCCCTTTGCATTACTGCAGGGGCTGCTGATCCATCTAAAATGTCTGGGACTGTTAATGAGAGCAGTGACTATGACCAATGGCTTATTTTGGGACTATTAATAGGCACAATGGCAGCTCTTGGTGGTTTATTTTCTCCTCTGACATGTTGAACAAATCCCCTCCTTTAGTTTCTCATTGGCATAGTAAAGTAAAATACTGCATATGTCAATGCTTTGTACACCCAACAGTGACCCAGATTTCCGTCCCCTTTGCATTTCCAGTATACAAAATCCGAAATGGCCACGACCTCATACTTTATACAGTTTCCCCTCTGCCCGGCCCCTTGTCCATGGAATACTCTTATTATGGACTACTAATTCTCCCAATCCAGTTGTTGAAGATTTTGCACCTTTTCCCCAGTTCCGTCACTCTGTCCCTCTGCCTCTTTGTTGAATAGTATTGACTGGCCTTCTCTTGACTTCAAGTCAGCAAGCCCAGAAGCCATCAGTTACCCGCTTCCTATGGCTGCAATGTTTCAGTTGCACTCTCTTTGGCCCTACCCATCGAACAGAAACACCTCCACTGCGTTATTCTGTCAATTGCCCAAAGCACCTTGTGTGTCATTAATGAACACAGTATTGATTGCTTGTCTCACTTTGCAGCCCATCTGTCCAAGAGCTCCCTACTACTTTGATGCATTTATACACGTTAAATATCAAAAGCAGGCCAAAACTGGGTGGATGAACCTTCACTATTTAGCTTGCATTTCTTAATTACTCCAATTCCAATTGCTGGCACATTCTAGGGCCAGGAATCATTCCATTCCTGCCTACCTTTATTAATGCTTTACTGTGCAAAAATATCCCAGGCAAGTTGCTCAGGGAGCTGCATTGCCACCTTTTATTTGGGGCTTTCCTTATACAGAAAAATATATATACAGTTTGATACTTATACAGTATCAAACTGAAAACTGTCTCCCAGAGAAGGAGGATTAGCTAGCACTTTGTTTACAGTGTTCCTCCAGGAGCCGACTGCCTGCTTAAAAACCGCAAACTTGCTTCATTTTTGTATGTTGCTACTGTTAGAGTGCCAACTGCCAGAAAAGTTCTTGATGGTTGATTCCTTAAGAAAGGTATTTGGATGGCCAGGTGGAATGGACTGTGTGATCATTAGCTTTTCTGAAGTAAAAATATCCATTTCTATTATATATCTGATGACCAGCAGTGTCTCTCATTTCCTGAGGGTGGTGAGTCTGTGGACAGATCACTCTGTTGCTGTTCCAGTACCATCAAAGCAATTGTAGACTGGAATGCTTAAGAACAGCATGTCTGTTTGGTCTGTACTACCAGTTTAAAAACAAAAATCAACCTTTGTGTGACCTTTAGTGTCATTATCTTTTAGGAAAATGACCAAACTCTCTAATCTTGAAATTTGGTCCGACACTGAACACCAGCCCCTACTTATTTTAAAACGGTGGCTGTGAATGGATGAAATGAGAGACAATGTTAAGTTGCCTTTGAAAATTCTAGCTCACCACATTTGATTAATTCACTATTATCTGCCATTAAATTCTGGCAATAATTTGAAGTAGCTTAAAAAAAAAAAAAAAAAAAACACCCTAAAGTGGGAACCTTAAAATGATGGAGCCTGTTTAACCCACTTGCATGTTAAAACATATAGGCCAAGATCTAATGAGTCTTTTGAGAGTATACTTCAAAGAGAGAGCTCTACCTAGTAAGAAAAGAAGAGGGTTTTGCAGCCGCCGAGTATTTAAGCTTTCTGGTCTTTGGTTTTTAACTATTGTGTGTGAATGTGGCTGTGTGTGTGTGCACTCGAGTATCTGTACATGTGTTCACATGGTGACCAGAGAGCAATGGGAACTAGTTTTTCTATCTATCTTGTGGGTCCTGGCGATCAAACTCAGATCGTCAGGTTTGGCAGCACGTGCCTTTATCCTCTGAGCCATCTTGCCAGCCCGCTGCTGCGTTTTTAATGTGACATTGCTGATGAAAACAGGCATCACAACAGCAATTCTTCAAAGTTACTGAAAAAAAAAAAAAAAAGATACCATTTTTCTGAGAAGGATGTCAAGAAATCCACCCAGTTCACGATCCAGATTGAACTTCGGCTCTTCAGACAGCTACAGTATAGACGAGCTGTTTCAGACTACAGTAAGTACTACCTTGTAGCAACTAAGCAATCTTTCCCATTCGACTTTTTCTCTTATGTGCCACCCACCGAAAAGTCAGAGGGACTCAGTTGCTAGCTCTTCTCAACTTGTGCACGATGCATACGTATGCCAATGAGGTTGCAGAGTTAATATTGTGTACCCAGCCCTATGCCAGGGTACACTGAAGTGAGAAGCATAATTCCTCCCCTGAAATGCTTGTGTTGTTGAAGACTTAATGTACTATAAACACACTTGAAACCATTTTAGGAAATGATGGCCAAGTATTGTCTCGTGTAAATTATAAGTACTTTAGGAAGCCTACTGGGGTTGGAAGGTCATGACTTCTTAAAGTGACTACTTTGCACCCTTGATGCAGATTTGAATGCCACCTGTTTCTACCTCTTGGAGGCATGGAAAGATATTAAGAGTAAAGGACCCAGCCATTACATTTGGCTATATGCCAGTGATGGCAAGGGATGGTCACTGAGTCCCAGAAGCTTGGGCTTGGGAATTAAATTTAGGGATTGGGGATATAAATTTGATAATTTGGCTCTTTCAACCATTTTTACTGCATTTCTGTCCCAGAACAGATGACAATGGGTTATACAGATCAGAGGTAACTTTAGTTGCAGTTGTTTTCCCAAAAGGGCAATGGAGAAGAATAAGTTTCATGAGCAAACCTTGCTATGGTCTACCGTATGCTGTAGTAGTATGCACCCTTCTCCTCCCCACATTTTTTAAAATTAATTCATTCAGGGCGCTGGAGAGATGGCTCAGGGCTAAGAGCATTGGCTGCTCTTCCAGCCGTCCTGAGTTCTATTCCCAACAACTGTATGGTGGCTCACAACCATCTATAATGTTCTGGTGTCCTCTTGTGGCCTGCAAGTGGATATACAGGCGGAACTGTATACATAATAAATAAATCTTTTTTTTTTAGGTAAATACATATTATTAGTGGTTGATTATTTCAATTCTTTTTTTCTTTCTTTTTTAAGGAATTTTCTACTCCTCATGCTATCCACAGACCCCCCCCCTCCTCCCACTCCCAATAAATAAATCTTTTAAAAAATTATTCATTCATCATTCATTAATTAATTTTGTTTTTTTGAGACAGGGTTTCTCCAGGTTGTCCTGGAGCTCTATAGACCAGGCTAGCTTCAAACTCGAGATCCACCTGCCTCTGCTGCCCGAGCCTGCCTCTGCCCTCATTTAGAGGGCTGCCTACTAAGCAGAGCACTGCCTTGGATACAAGGGAAGACTGTGCTGCACTGTGCTCCCCCCCCCTTTTTTTTTTGTTTTGTTTTTTTGGTTTTTCGAGACAGGGTTTCTTTGTGTAGCTTTGCGCCTTTCCTGGATCTTGCTCTGTAGAGCAAACTGGCCTCGAACTCAGAGATCCGCCTGCCTCTGCCTCCCGAGTGCTGGGATTAAAGGCGTGCACCACCACCGCCCACCACCACCACCCGGCGCTGCACTGCTTTTGTAGTGCTGCCTTTGTAGTGCTGGGAATAAAGGCATGTGCCATTACTCCTACCCCCTCCCCAAGTTTGTCAACAGTACTTTAAATTAAAAAAAAACTGCCACTTATTCCTGCTGTTGGACAAGGTCCAGCTGGAAAAACATCCTGGTCCATAACACTTCAACTTTTTGCATTTGTTTTCTTCTGCCCCATGGGATGCAAATGATTTTCCCACCTTCCAACTGCTTCCCATAGTCTGGCTGACTAGGGGAGAATACAGTGGTATTGAATCCCGTGGGAAAAAAGTGCCATGGCATTGTTTTTCAAATAAGTACAAGTAATGCTTTTGAATGAACCTTCTTTTCAAAGAAGATTCTAAAGAATGTGGTTAGAGCACTGACTCTAAAAACCAGCTGAAGCTAGATTGCGGTCTCAACCTAGCGTCCCTGGCCACGCCTACACCCAGGCTTGCTGAGGTTCCCAGAGCTTGCAGCCTGCCCCCTATGGACTGAAATAGAGGTTAGAACTGGTTTGAGTCCAGTTCTCAGAGGAAGCTGGTGCTGCTGCTGCTGCTGCTGCTATTCACAATCAAAAGCACCGTTACCAATGGTCAGTCCCCTATTCAAAAGAGAGATCAGGTTGTGTGAGCAGGCCGCTCATTGATTGGGGCCAATTCCTTCAAAGCAGCCTGGTACTGTGACCCCAATGGCACCATAAGGCACCTACTGCTTCATTTAGTAGGGCATCTGGAGAAGGAGTTTGTCCCTGGTAGAGATGTCCATCAGGAGGTGCTACGCCACAAAACTAAGGATCTGGAGGCCATATTTGGTAGAAAGTAGAGAGAGTCCCACCAAATTGTCCCCTGATCTAGCCCTCACTGTCAGCAATCATGGAATGGAAAGCGCCAGTCAGCCACTGTCTTCAAGCTGCCTGGACTACTACATTAAGAATGAGTTTTCTCCCAAACTGTCCAATGGCTCGTTCCAGACTTGCAGAAATTTGTAGACAAAGACCCCAGTAGATAAGAAGGTGCTTATGAACCATACCTTCACTAAGGGGTGGGAAGTGAAAGCAGCGGATTCTGCTGGCTGATTGTACAAAGCCCTGTGGCAAAAGCAGACCGGGCCTCTGCACGTGCACTGCCCTGTATTCTAGCCACTGCCCAGCCTGCATCCTGCCCGCCCAGTCTAGTGAGCCTGTTCTGTCTCCCCTTGCCCTTAGTCCACCGGCTCACTCCTAGGGAAGATGGCTATATTGGTGTAGTTTATCAGGGAACTTTGTTACTTAAGTTTAAACAAAACGTAATGAGAAAGCCCATTAAAAAACAAAAACAAACAAACAAAAAAAGGAAAAGAAATGAAAAAGGTCTTTGAAACGTAAACATGTTTTTCAATTTCAAAGACTTTTCACAACTCTTAGAACATGGGGGATTCATGAAAACATACCTACAACTCCCCAGTTCTTACCATCCCGATTCAAGAAACACTAGTCTGTGCACATGAATACTGTATTGCTACGAATCAAATTATCTTTTGGTATAAGGGTATAACTATCATTGGAATTTGTTTTCCAGGGATGAATTTGGAGTTGGTTTTGTGCCCCAACTCAAGAAGATGGCCTGGTTTTAGAGGGATGAATTCCAGACAGCATCCAAAGGTGAGTACTGAGTTGGAGTTGATGACTTGGTTGATTGAGATAATCTCTGCCTTTTAAGGGTCTAATATGTCAGGTTCTAATTCCTAGACATTTGTTGTTTTCTTTTACCATTTGGGTTTTTCTCAAGAGTTTTTGTCAGCTAATGAAAGCCTTGTCTTTCTTCACAGGGACAATCCCAGCATGAGACTCTAGGATTGCCAGCAGCTGATACTGGTTTCATTCAAATTCAGGTCTTTCCTTTTGAGACTCCGGACAAGCCTAGCTAATCTGAGCAAATAACTTGCAGGCCACATGGAGAAAAAGGTACTTTGGAGAGTTCCTATTCTTGGGTTTCTGTCTGTTTTTTTTTTTTTTTTAAGTTTTTCGACACAGGGTTTCTCTGTGTAGCTTTGCACCTTTCCTGGAATGTGGGAGCCCATTCTCGGGTTCCTTGTGGCTTTACCCAGCAGGTCCGCATAGAGGATGATTAGGACCACGGGCCTGAGTGCAGGTGTCTGAGATGGTCTGCACTTGGCTGTGCTGGGGGAGGAGGTCTTTTGCTCCACCCCTTGGCGTCTCTATAAAAACCCTGGGGCAGAGACAGTCGGGCCCGTTGGAATAGGTTCCAGGCCCTCTCGAGGCTGTCCTTTATTTTCTGTTTATCTCCGCAAGATTCTCCGAAATAAATCCTTCTATCTAATATTTCCTGCTGCTCACACTCAAGAAAACTCTGGGGAGCTGTGGGGTTGGTGGGTAAACGCCCCACACTGGAACTCACTCTATAGCCCAGGCTGGCCTCGAACTCACAGAGATCCGCCTGCCTCTGCCTCCTGAGTGCTGGGATTAAAGGCGTGCGCCACCACCGCCCTCTGTCTGGTTTTAAGAGTTCTTTCTTGTAAAAGCAGAAGCAGCAATTCCTACACCATTTTCACCGTCTACCATGTACTTGGTCTGTCTCCGTTATGCTGAGATAGGCTCCGCTGAGGTGGTGAGGGTAGTAAGCATATGTGATCTCCGTTTCGTCAGGGAAGGAGAGAGAGAGGCAAGTCAATACAGCACACCTCCTCTCATGCATAGTCAGTTAGCCAGTGAAGACACTTGCCTCGGAATTGTTCCCACCATTCTAAGACAACACTGGATCTCTAACAGTTGTTTGGAAATGCCTAAAAGACAGAGCACCAGAGGAAGGGTGGCCTGTGAAGGCGGCGAGGTCCTGGCCTTCTGGATTTGATAGAGTGGATGTAGCTGTTCTCACAAATGACATTTTCTAGGCCTGTCACAATTCTGGTTTCTCTGAATATCCTCCAACTCTGGAGGTGCGATGCTACACCACTTGCTAGAGACGCACCACAAGGATTGAGCAAAACACAATTCTATTCATTTCGGCGGTGTTCCAGCACAGTGTTACTTAAAGCACAAATTAAAAGAGGGAGATGCCCCACAACCAGGTGACAGGCACTTTGATTAACGTGGATCGCTCAGTTTTTTTTTTTAAAGATTTATTTATTTATTATGTATACAGAAGAGGTTGCCAGATCTCATTACAGATGGTTGTGAGCCACCATGTGGGTGCTGGGAATTTAACTCAGGACCTCTGGAAGAGCAGTCGGTGCTCTTAACCTCTGAGCCATCTCTCCAGGCCGGATTGCTTAGTTTTAAAAGAACACTTCTCAGAGAAGTCAGAGGCAACAGGACGGAGAATTCTTTTCTTTCTTTTTTTTTTTTTTTTTTTGATTTGCCAATGTTGATCAAACTTTGGGGAGTCTGATGCCAGGCTGTTTATTACCAATAAATTTAAACACAGTACAATTTTGGGGAAAAGTGTCCTGGTGTAATACAACCCCTGGTGCACAGGAAAGCATAATTGTATCAAAAGTCAACTCAGGGTCCATGTCATGTCTTCCAAGAAGACGGCTTCTAAAGGTAGGCTACCTGAATAGCTTAGTGGCCTATGGAAGCCTGGACTGCATAGTTGCTACTTGCCTGAACTCCGTAAGGCCCAAACACTGGCACAAAGAATCTATATGAAGCAGCAGAGGACAAGAGAAGGGATGGGTTGAGGGCAAGTGTGGGAGCCCAGCTGGGCGACTGGCTCCCACATTTTACGACAAGGTACTCGTAAGGAGAGAGGAATAGAGATATTAGATAGAAGAATAGAGGGGAGAGAAACAGATAGAAACACAGGATAGCCTCAGGAGGGCCTGGATCATTACCCACCGGCCCTTTCTGTCTCTTCTAAAGGGTTATTTATAGGAATGCCAAGGGGTGGAGCAAAAGACCTCCCCTAGCTCAGCCAAGTGCAGACCCTTCCAATCACCTTGTGACCATGCACATGGTCAAGCCATCCTGCTGGGTGAAGCAAGCTCAGCTCTCACTAGGAAACATTTGTGGGCCTCCACAACTCTGCCTTCTTGATATAATAAAGGGCCCCTCTGGCCCCTCAGATAGACCGTGCCTGTCTTAGGTCATTCTTCTTGATTAATTTTACATACATACATACATTCAGGAAATTATCAAGAAGAAAATTGCCCATTTTGGGGGTACAGAGCTTAACTCAGCTCTGGCCCAAGTCCCTACTAAGAGCTTGCAAACATCCACATTGATCTCCATAGCTGCCACACCTCCCAGTAAAGGAGTAGAGGATAATAAAGATGGGATATCTTTTTTGGAATGAGTCTAAGGTGACTACAGCAGTCTTAGCTGCACTAAGCCCTTTTCAAAACTCTCTCCTAACAGATTTTCAAGAGACCGTTTTGATTCCCAGCAGAAACAGTCATTTCAAACACTTTAAAATATTCGCTCAAGTAAACAAAACCCATGCTAATTATAAAGACACTTTTAGCTGTTTAAGTAGCTCATCTGTACAAACTAACTCGATTGTGCAAGGCCTACCCATTTCTAAACAGAAACTTTTAGGAAGAGGACAGAAAAGCTCCCCTAATTACGACCCCTTCGCTTAGTATCCGAAGGTAAAAGAAGTAATAAAAACAATTTGAGTATGAATGTCACTAGACACTTTTTTTTTTTAGGAGTCGAAGGGGTTTATTACATCTTACACTTAAGGGCACAGTTCATCATTGAGGGAAGTCAGGGTAGGAACTCAAGGCAGGGACCTGAAGCAGAAACCATTCGGGCTTATTTTCTGGCTTTTTCTAGCTATTTTATACAGCCCAGGACCACCTACCCAGGGATTGTGCCACCTGCAGTGGGCTATCCTCTCTTGCATCATTTATTAATCGAGATAATTCCTCGTGGACATGCCCACTGACCAAAAGATAAAAGACAGTTCCTTAATTGAGGCTTCTCCTCCAGGTGACTCTAGGCTGTTTCAAGTTGACAGTTAAGATCAACCAGGAAACTAGGCAAATTTCTGAGCTACATCCCCACCATCATCATCGTCATCATCCTTTTGTGATGTTGGGGATGGTATCCAGAATCTTGCACATGCTAGGCAGGTACCACTGAATGACACCCTCCACACCATTATTATTACTGTTACTATTTTGTGGTGCTGGCGATGGAAACTAGGGATGCTAGGCAAGCACTTTAGCACTAAGCCACCCCACCCCCTATCATCATCATATTGTGTTTGGAATGGAAGCGTCCTGAACATTCTAGGCAGTTGCTGTAACACAGACAAAGTCACCCTGTTTTTCTCTCCATATTCTTTTTTTTTTGGGGGGGGGTGCGTTTCTGAGACAGGGTTTCTCTGTGTAGTTTTGGTGCCTGTCCTAGATCTCGCTCTGTAGACCAGGCTGGCCTCGAACTCACAGAGATCCTCCTGGCTCTGCCTCCCGAGTGCTGGGATTAAGGCGTGCACTACCACTGCCCGGCCTCCATACTCTTTTTTAAAAACTTTCTTTTTTTTTTTTAAATGCCAAATGCGGTTTATTGAAGGAGGGAGGAAGTCTTAAATACAGGCTTACAGCACAATGGGAGAACCCCGGAGGGCCGAAGTTTGCTACCGATGTTTTACAATCTTGCATCTAAGCTCTTACACCCATTAAGCAGGATACACAGACAAGGAACTTCCCTTAAGCATTCAGGAGGGAGAAACCCAGGAGGGAATTAGCATAGGGAGGATATCAAGGTCAAGGTCAGCAAGCAAGGCAACAGTTACCCAAAACAGGGGCCAGGGACCTACAGGTCCCCCTTTTACTAATAAAGGAGCTTCTGACTTAGGTTGTGTGGGACGTCAGCAGGTCACCTTACCCGCATGACGGAGAATTCTCAAAAAACTCAGGGGATCTGGATGGAGTGTTTTCTAAGTGGCTTCATAGCCTACTTGGTTGATAAAGCTTGGCTCCTCCTTCCACTGGTTTCAACTCCCCAGTGTATTTGATGATAAATGTACAAGGGCTTAACCAATCTATAATCTAAAGGATTACTCATGGGTAGACAATAGAAAATTAAGGCAAAAAGGAGCTCAGATGGGACAATTCTCATGTCCCTAAGTCAATACCATAAAGATCTACAAATCTGTAAGAGTCTACCCTCCGAGCCATACCACCAACCACCACCAACAAAAAGTCTACATGATTAACCCAAGTGCTGGGTACTACACAATGAAGCAGATTTCCTAATGTACTTGATTTCAAGAATTGTTTTTTTCTTTCACCTCTTTTCCAGATCTTCCCCCAGAAGTATGGGCTTGTTGCTTTGCAGTGATGGTGACCTACTCCCTTTGACGATCCCTAGGTGGAGATGGGGCATGAGGATCCTCCAGGGGAATAGCTCACCAACACTGGGCAACAGCCCTAGCCCAGGGGGTTTTAGTGCGACACTTTGCTGAACCCAGCAAGGAAGATAAAGAGTCAAAGACAGCCACCCTACATCAAAATAGGTAAGTTTGTTGGGACAGTGTAATAGATAATTAATTTTGATCTTGTTTTCCCCTGTAGTCAGCCTTTTGAGTTTTAATTTTTTTTTTAAATGTATGAGTGCTCTGTCTGCATGTACACTTACATGCCACAAGAGGGCATCAGATCCTACTATAGATGGTTGTGAGCCACCATGTCCTGGCTGGGAATTGAACTCAGCACCTCTGCAACAGCAGCCAGTGCTCTTAACCACTGGGCCATCTCTCCAGCCCGTGTAGTCAGCCTTTTTACTTGAGTTATGCTTTGTTTTGTTTTTAATTTATTTTTTGATGTATGAGTGCTCTGTCTGTGTGTACACTTACATGCCACAAGAGGGCATCAGATCCCATTGTAAGTGGTTATACGCCACTATGTGGTTGCTGGGAATTGAACCCTAACTCTGACTGTGATAAATAATTTAATTTTCACCTTGTTTCCTATTGTAGTCAACCTTTTTCAAAAATATTTTTTACTAATTTATTTATTCTTATTTAATGTACATTGGTGTTTTGCCTGCATGTATGTCTGTGTGAGGGTGTTAGATCTTGGAGTTAAGAGTTGTGAGCTGCCGTGTGGGTACTGGGAATTGAACCTGAGTCCTCAGGAAGAGTAGTCAGTGCTCTTAACCACTGGGCCATCTCTCCAGCCCCTGTAGTCAGCCTTTTACTTGAGTTATGCTTTGTTTTGTTTTTAATTTTTTAATGTATGAGTGCTCTGTCTGCATGTACACGTACATGCCACAAGAGGGCATCAGATCCCATTATAAGTGGTTATACGCCACCATGTCCTGGCTGGGAATTGAACTCAGCACCTCTGCAAGAGCAGCCAGTGCTCTTAACCACTGGGCCATCTCTCCAGCCTCATACTTGAGTTCTAGTTATCATTTTCCTGTGTCTATTTTGATAAGAACAGCTTCCTGACTACCAGGGAAGCATCTTGGTGGAAGGCTGTGAAAGTGGATATGTAGCATAGACCTGCACAGTGTAATAGAGAACTGAAACTAAACTGTGCACGTGGGTCTTTCTTTCTTCTAGGAGAAAAGCTGCCGCCACAGTAGTGGCACTGACTTCACGAGCAAGTCATTCTGTTTCATCTAGTTCTCAAAGCCTCCCTGGGAGCTCTGTAGGAGAACTTTACCAGCTGTTTACATACCTCAAGATTCATTGTGCTACCGGTGGGATAGAATATACGGTCAGTAGCTTATCTTTTTATGCTAATATTAATGGTGATGAATGCCTCTAACTACAAATAGAAACCTGGCTGAAAATGACACAGAAGTATCTATTATCCGGCAGAATTTAAAGAACCAGGACCCTCTAGTACTTCCTTCCTGACATTCACACAGCTTCTTTTGTTCTTGGTAGCTCCATCTCCTAAATCATCATCCTTCCTCAAAGCAGCACAGAAAGCTGGGTCTTTGGAGGGATCACAAAATGTGAACACAGGAAAGGAAGTCAGCTTTATGACCCAAGGACACTGGAGCTATCAGGCTTCCATATTATGAACTGGGTTCACAGCAGCAACTCCAGCTGTAGTCTGCTCACCAGTTGCGTCGCAGAGGGATACAGCCTCTAGCTGTCTTTTGAGTTGGTGCTCTGCCATTTTTAGAGGCTTAAATGTTGGAGAGCCTTAAATAGTTTGCTTTCTTCTGAAAGGATTTGTTTTCTGCTCCATCTGTGAGAATTAAACAGTTGGGTTTCAAGATTTAGTGCAAAGAGAAACCTAAATCCTGAAGCAGCCATTATAATGGTGCAGGATGTAAATACCAAGCCTGTTTTCTTAACTAGATGGGGAAAGTGAAGCTGCCAATTAAAATATGCAGCCACCTGTGGCATTTGGCGTTTATGGAAATTAGCAAATCCATGTAACAGAATGCTAAGCGGTGTTGATGCTGTGTTTAAATTTGCTACTCCTTAGTTGTACAACCTTGGCCAATTTCGTTTCTGGTAAGACTTGGCTAATTGTGAAGGTCAGGTGAAATCATGAATTCAAAGTGCTTAATATAGTGTCTGGCAAGTAAAACGTATGCCCTGGACTTGCATAATGAAGTCAATTGGTACAACGTTAGTTAAGTGAGTGCAAACCTTCAGTGGTGAGCAGAGCTAACATGCTTCTTTGATTCCATGTGAAAAAACGTATGCATATAAGCAGAAGAGCATCTGCCTTAGCACAGTAGGCAATTGTGATGGACTGTAGGCAGTAGTACAGGTAGTACTGGTACACGAATCACTTCCTGTACTAATGGCACTTTCCCCCCTTCCCTGTCTCAGGTTTTTCTTCTCCTCTTCTTGTTGGGCTTTGCTTGCTTTCAATTGTAAGTGTGTATTGGGTTGTGTGTCTTCATTGTTTTGTGCATCTATTTCTTCCTTGCTTTGTGTGTCTAATTCTTCTTCAGTGTATCTGTTTGTTCCTTGCTTTGTGTGTCTAATTTTTCTTAGATGTTTCTATTTCTTCCTTGCCTTGTACATCTTCCTTCCTTCCTCTCCCTTGCTTTGTATGTCTTCTTTCCTTCCTCTCCCTTGCTTTGTATGTCTTCTTTCCTTCCTCTCCCTTGCTTTGTATGTCTTCCTTCCTTCTTCTGTATGTCTTCCTTCTTTGCTTGATGTCTATGTCTCCTCAAGTGTCTCCTCCTCCTTCTGTGTCTATGGTGTGTCTCCTCAAGTGTCTCCTCTTCCTTCTGTGTCTATGGTGTGTCTCCTCCTCCTTCTGTGTCTATGGTGTGTCTCCTCAAGTGTCTCCTCCTCCTTCTGTGTCTATGGTGTGTCTCCTCAAGTGTCTCCTCCTCCTTCTGTGTCTATGGTGTGTCTCCTCCTCCTTCTGTGTCTATGGTGTGTCTCCTCAAGTGTCTCCTCCTCCTTCTGTGTCTATGGTGTGTCTCCTCCTCCTTCTGTGTCTATGGTGTGTCTCCTCAAGTGTCTCCTCCTCCTTCTGTGTCTATGGTGTGTCTCCTCAAGTGTCTCCTCCTCCTTCTGTGTCTATGGTGTGTCTCCTCCTCCTTCTGTGTCTATGGTGTGTCTCCTCAAGTGTCTCCTCCTCCTTCTGTGTCTATGGTGTGTCTCCTCAAGTGTCTCCTCCTCCTTCTGTGTCTATGGTGTGTCTCCTCCTCCTTCTGTGTCTATGGTGTGTCTCCTCAAGTGTCTCCTCTTCCTTCTGTGTCTATGGTGTGTCTCCTCAAGTGTCTCCTCCTCCTTCTGTGTCTATGGTGTGTCTCCTCAAGTGTCTCCTCCTCCTTCTGTGTCTATGGTGTGTCTCCTCAAGTGTCTCCTCTTCCTTCTGTGTCTATGGTGTGTCTCCTCAAGTGTCTCCTCTTCCTTCTGTGTCTATGGTGTGTCTCCTCAAGTGTCTCCTCTTCCTTCTGTGTCTATGGTGTGTCTCTTCAAGTGTCTCCTCTTCCTTCTGTGTCTATGGTGTGTCTCCTCAAGTGTCTCCTCCTCCTTCTGTGTCTATGGTGTGTCTACTCAAGTGTCTCCTCTTCCTTCTGTGTCTATGGTGTGTCTCTTCAAGTGTCTCCTCTTCCTTCTGTGTCTATGGTGTGTCTCTTCAAGTGTCTCCTCTTCCTTCTGTGTCTATGGTGTGTCTCCTCAAGTGTCTCCTCCTCCTTCTGTGTCTATGGTGTGTCTCCTCAAGTGTCTCCTCCTCCTTCTGTGTCTATGGTGTGTCTACTCAAGTGTCTCCTCCTCCTTCTGTGTCTATGGTGTGTCTCTTCAAGTGTCTCCTCCTCCTTCTGTGTCTATGGTGTGTCTTCTCAAGTGTCTCCTCCTCCTTCTGTGTCTATGGTGTGTCTCCTCCTTCTGTGTCTATGGTGTGTCTCCTCCTTCTGTGTCTATGGTGTGTCTCCTCCTTCTGTGTCTATGGTGTGTCTATGGTGTGTCTCTTCCTTCTGTGTCTATGGTGTGTCTCCTCCTTCTGTGTCTATGGTGTGTCTTCCGTGGTCCCGTGTTTCTCGGCTACTTTCTTCCTTGTAGAGCTTTGAGCTTTGTCTGGTTTTCTCCTCTGGCGCCTGTGTGATCTGTGCCTCGTCTTGGTCTGTTTTTCTCTCTGCTTGCTCTTTCTCTTAGCTCTCCTTTCACTCCTTCTGCCTTCTATGACTCCCCTTTGGGTCCCACGTTGCACGCATCCCTCTGCTTTCTTTGTGCTCACCTCACTTGTTTTTTTCTGTGTGATCTGTTTGTCAGCCCGTTGACTCAACATTTCCCATTTTTCTTTCTGCTGTTTCTGTCCTTAGCACATGCTTCTCTTTCTTACACCTCCTTTCTGCCTTGGGCTCTTTTCTCTCTTTTCCGTCTTTGTAGCTGTGTCTTTGCTGTTTGTGAGTTCTGATCTCAGCATTACTCCATTGCGCTGTGCTTGCTTATGCTTCTTTCTTTCTCTTTCTACTCTACTCTTTACGAGTCTGTGTGTGTCTCTCTCTCTTACTCTAATGTAATCCTCTCTTGGATATTTCTTTGTGTGTGTGTGTGTGTGTGTGTGTGTGTGTGTGTGTGTGTGTGTGTGTGCGTGCGCGCGCGCGTGATGTGTGATAGAGGGTCTTCCTAGCCCCTTCCAATAGGTGCAGAGTGTCACCTCATGCCAGACTGCCCTGCGAAATAATCCAAGACAAAAACAGCACTCCGGTCAGGACTGAAGTAGATCTGAAATGAACACATGTAAAGGCCCAAAGTGGAAGACAGATGTTTTGTGACTTGTGACTTAAGGACCAAGACACACAGAAGGCTTATCTGAACTGGCTGGAAGGTTCGTGTCTTAAACTGGATGGACAGAATGCTGACAGCCCAAAGGAGAGGGGCTGTTTCTACAGGACCCATGGGAAGTCTAAGAAGTGAGACCTGCGTCATAAGACACAGCCTGAGATAAGTCCAAGCCTAATAACTAAGGACTCCAGCCTATGTGGACATAAGGCCTAAGAGATAAAGGGTAGAAGTTGGAGGCCTATAGCCTGAAACTCTGGAGGGACAGAATCCTAAGACCAGGGGAAAGCTGAAGATGAGACCCTCCCACTAACGTTCGTACTGTTAAATCCCCTTCCTTCTCTTGGACATTTTCAGCACCCTCTTCTGTCTCTTAGATTTCCATTTGCGCCAGCTTCGCTTGAGATGTACTTTTCAATGTTGTCCTTTGCCGTAAAGGAACAAGCTAAAGATTGACAGTATTGTGCACGGGTCGGTCGTTAATCTGTTTTAAAGCTGATTTTAGCCATTTGTTAAATGTTTGTGTTTTAAAACTTCCATTTCTCTTCACATCTGCTCCACTTGAGAGAGAGAACAAAATCCAGCCAGTGGTATCTAGTCTGACTTTTGCTATTCCCCTAGGAGCAAGCATCCATACAGACAGATACTGTACTTCCATCCTCCCTAACTCAGAAGTCCTAGGCTATGAGAAAGGAGCATCAGACTATTGGGGAAAACAATATCAGGCTGTCTAGAGAAACTATGAAGACATGCTCCAGACCAATGAGAAGAATTAGACAAGTAATATGCAAGTGTGCCAACCTCTGAGAAGCACCAGCCAGGATCACCTTCCTTCTTTGGGCTTAGGTGAGCAGGGTATGGAATTTCTAATAATGGGAACAGTGATTAGGTTTGGGACAGACAGACTGAGGTCTGAACTCCCTGCTCATTGTAGTGGCCAAGTAATTTGGTGCATTTCACTGAATCTACTCCCGGGTTTAACACCCTCCTTTAGGATTAAATGAGGAGAGAATTTGGGACTGACTAGCAGGCTTCATGGTTCTTGTGCCCCCTTCTCCCCCTTTAAGAGGGAACTTGACTTTCAATGACTGATACAACACCGGAGAAAAAAAGGAACATGCCCATAGCACACTGGCAACCACGCATAGTTAATAGTGGGAAATGAGTTGAGTTTTTCTTTTAAGAACTCAGACTGTAAATACCTGAGGCTTTGTGGGCTGTTGGTCTCAGTTGCATATTCTTTTAAAAAGAAAAAAAAAAAAAAACCTTTTCAGGAGGTAAGAATCCCTCATTGGCCTATTGCCTGGACTGGCCCAAGCCTTGATATAGATGCCAGAGAATATGTCTGAATAACAGTAATTTCCTTCTCTATATCTATCTATCTTTGTGCTGAATACTAAGGATGTGATACTTAATTGTGGTCACTTCCGGGTAACAGGATGATGTTACCAGGTAACATGAAAACATAAATACACTTTGTAAACCATAAAGCACACTAAAACTTCTAAGTTAGTGTTGAATGAATGTATATTACTTAGTAAATGCATTCTACTGGTCTATGTGCTATGGATACAAAGACTGCTGTAGGAATAACGAGTAAAAACATGCTTTGTAAAAAATATATAAACATAATATGGCTTGAATGAAAAATAATCCATATCCTTAAGGCCAATGTTTTTACTGCTTTGGTGATTTTCAGTAAAATGCATTATACCAGGCAGCAGAAAAGAAAACACATGGAAACCAATTTTAAACTACAAAATATGCCACAAATAATGTGATTATCTTATTATGATCACCTTATAATTTGCAAAATACCATGCTCAGCACCAGGGCTAACAAAGGGGGACATTTTAGCACAGAACTAAAATTTAAGAAAGAACATAGTAAAGTGCTTTGTAAACTAAAGCACTATACAGCTACAGTAGTCCATGTGCATGAATGAGTGAAAACTACCTACCTCCTCCGTGTGAGGTATTACGTGCTAGGTCCATGAAATACAAGATCAGCTGGGCATAATGTTAATGTGTATGTTGGCATTTAAAAAAAAAAAAGATTTGTTTATTATGTATACAGTGTTCTGCCTGCACGTATCCCTGCAGGCCAGAAGAGGGCGCCAAAATCTCATCACAAAGAGATGGTTGTGAGCCACCATGTGGTTGCTGGGAATTGAAATCAGGACCTCTGGAAGAGCAGTCGGTACTCTTAACCACTGAGCCATCTCTCCAGCCGCTATGCTGGCATTTCATGAAATTTGGGGCACCATATAAACGTAACAATTCATTTTCTTACTTGGTGCCAACTTCTAGCCTTTTAAAATTCTGTCACATTTATTATACTGTGCAAATAAAGCAAATAAGTAACTGTGGAACACTGTGAACATGAGGCATTCAGCATCAATGAATGCAAGACTGGATGGCAATTATTTATTATAAACAGTGCCCTTGCTAGGCACTGAGATGCAAAAACAGCATCCCTAGTGCCCCATGTATCTAAAGAAATTACGTGCAAGTTTAATTTATAATTTGTAAGCTGCCATACATGCCCAGTAGTCAATTATTTGCTTTTATCCCAAGACACTGGGAATACAAAAATTCATTGGCATTATTATTACTCACAGCAGAGATTCATGTGGAACTTTATGAAGTCTGCAGTTCTTGAGTAACTCTGCCATGAAATATGAATGTTTACATTCTATACTATTTACTTACAATGAATGAGATAATGCTTAATTTATTTAATCTGTCAAGACTTTAGTGACGAGGCAAGCTAATACAAGAACATTTGTCCAGGTAACAGAGGAGAATGTTATGGTCATGTGTGCTTTCTTAGCTAGAAAGCACTACAGAAGTGTAAGACATTACATATTTTCTATAGAAATAAAAAACGGCCTATAAAATAGGCACGGTCTCTACAAAATTCTCATTGTATTCTTGGTCTTCAATGACAAGAATAGTATAAATAGTTAGCAATCTGGGTGTGGTAGCATATGCTTTGAGTTCAGGCAGCTGAAGCAGCGGGACCACTTGAGCCCAGACATTTGAGGCTGGCCTTGGAACACAGTGGATAAATCTCAGGAAACTAAGTGGTTAAATGCCTGTTGAGTGAATATAACAATATTGATTGTTTATATATGATATAGTCTCTCTTACGGGCACTGGAGAGATACACAGACTTACAATTCATTGTGCCCAAAGCTGAGAGTAATGTTAATGTGTATGTTGGCATTTTTTTAAAAAAAGATTTATTTATTTATTATGTACTCTGTGTTCTGCCTGCACGTATCCCTGCAGGCCAGAAGAGGGCACCAGAATCTCATCACAAAGAGATGGTTGTGAGCCACCATGTGGTTGCTGGGAATTGAAATCAGGACCTCTGGAAGAGCAGTCGGTACTCTTAACCACTGAGCCATCTCTCCAGCCTCTATGCTGGCATTTCATGAACGTTGGGGCACCATATAAACGTAACAATTCATTTTCTTACTTGGTGCCAACTTCTAGCCTTTTAAAATTCTGTCACATTTATTATACTGTGCAAATAAAGCAAATAAGTAACTGTGGAACACTGTGAACATGAGGCATTCAGCATCAATGAATGCAAGACTGGATGGCAATTATTTATTATAAACAGTGCCCTTGCTAGGCACTGAGATGCAAAAACAGCATCCCTAGTGCCCCATGTATCTAAAGAAATTACGTGCAAGTTTAATTTATAATTTGTAAGCTGCCATACATGCCCAGTAGTCAATTATTTGCTTTTATCCCAAGACACTGGGAATACAAAAATTCATTGGCATTATTATTACTCACAACAGAGATTCATGTGGAACGTGAAGTCTGCAGTTCTATAAAGCCAGGACATAACTGTTGGCTTCATCTGTGGACAATGATAACTTTCTGAGTTTCATCATGGCTAAAACTTATCACCTAGTATATGCATTTTACTGTGCTATGGTGCTGTGCAAGCAAAGATTGCGTTCTCTCATGAAGTACTCACAGGACGTGTGAGATCGAGACCACAACCATACTTAACTTCAGTGATGAAATGAAAAAATGGATTTGTATAAGGCAGTGTGCTAAATGTTGAGCTAAGTGGACTATCCTGTCTAGAAGGATACTTCCCTGCTTGCTTGATTGAAGAGATGGAAAAAAAAAAAGTTTTCTTTGCTTTTTCCATCCAGTTTCTTAAATGTTGAATACTGCTGCTGGAGATGAATTAGAACTCCACGGCCAGTAAAGGTGTGAAAAGAAAGGGCCAGAGTCAGGTAGTTCCACAGAGCATGGATATCAGGGAACAGAAGGGCAGGAAGGGGCCAGAGCATCAGATGCCTACATACTTGATGTGGTCCAGAACCTCCCAAAACCCCAGTACTGACTGAGGACCAAGCATCCAGAATATGAGCTCTGGAGGACATTTGACATTCAAATTGTAATAGCTAAGACATTGTTTATATAGAATGTGCTGATCTAGGTCCTAAAGCTAAAACGTAAGGTGGACCTAGTATAAAGGGCAGCACAGATCACCAATCATAGCTGAAGAGGAGACACCAAGACATGGCCTTATTGCACAGCCCAGGCTGGTTCTAATTGGTGAATCTCCTGTCACAGCCTCTCAAGTGCTGAGATTACAGATGTGTGGCCATGCCCAGCCTATAGAATGTATCTGATTACTGAGTAAATAGTATTTTAGTGGCTGTTTGCTTGGCGGTGCTATACTTGAAGTATTAGTTAAATAGGTCTGGTCTAGAAGACCCACTGACTTGACCTAGAGATTCTGAAAATCAAATGAAGGCCAAGATTTATTCAACGTAAAATGGAGACATCCCTAACTAAGGAAGCTCCGAAGGTCGTTTGCTCATTGGCCTAGTTTAAAGTCAGGATAAGGGGACTTCAAGTCTGTCCTTTAATTCATTAGTTACACATTCTCCTTTTCTTACACTTAAAGTGTTTCAAAGGAGAATCAAGATGAACCAGTGATTCCAGAGGTACTCATTTGCTCGTTGCCTGGCTCAGAGTCAAGGAGATGACAATAAGAAAATACTTTCACACTCATCATACTTAATAAGGTCTTCAGTGTGAATAAAGTGCAATCCTAAGTACTGAAAAGAATGAAGACACTTAAAGGACAGAACCCAAAGTATACTTTGTCTCAGTAGCTTCTGAGACAGCAGTAACACATGAGACTACAACTCTAACTTTAGCTGAAAAAAACAAACTCAAGATAGTGAGAAGGAGAGTTAAATAAATAGATCGCCTTCTCATGGACATGCTTGGTAGAATGGGAATAAAAGAGGTTCTCTATTTCTTGAATTATACACATTGCAAAAGATCCTACTGGATGCTAAATGAAACACACGTGTTCCAAAAGGCACTTAGTGTGACGTACAGATGCCTTGAAAAGCAGAGTGATGCTCTTTATTAAAGAGGCTGGCTCCAACATTTTCTAGACTGAATGCAACTTGCTTTTTAATTGGCTCAGGTTAGAATATAGGAGGAATATTACTATTCATTCATTTTCTTCATTTATTCATCTATTTTACAAGTATTTGCATATAATGCTCTTCTAGGACCTTCATTTGGCTCCTGAGACCTGGAAAAAAAGAAACAAATAGGCATTCCCTCCCAGGGAACTGCTGAACTTAGGGGCCTGCTTTTTGGGTAGTGGCACGACTCAGTCCCCAAGTTAACATGTAGTTTAACTCCTCACCCCTATCTCTTCTCTGGCACTACAATGAACAGGAAGCTGGGTTTTGTAGTAAGTCTGCTCCTAAAGTTGCGAGCCCTCTACTCAAAGAAACAATGTTCTAGCCCATGACTTAATTTACCTATGACCGTGACCACTACTGGTCAGGAGGTCGACAGCCACTTCGTTCCCCAACTTCAGTTTCCTTAGTATTATCCCCGGGGAAACAACCCATTCTTGAGCTGCAGCAGGCTTTGAAATACATTTGCAAATTTGGCCTGTCTTCAGCTTTTTACCTTTTAAACATGCCAAAGCATATAAACTGCCTGAATAGGTCTCTTTCATAGAGTCAGATAGCATGCAGTAATTGTACAAATGTTCTTACTGTAAACAAACAAACAAACAAACAAACAAACCCCATGTACTCAAGGCGGCTTGCTGTGGTAAAATAATGCCAGTGGATGAAAATAACAAAATTTGAACATGCTTGCATGAAATTTGAGAATAATAAAATTGGAAACAATCAGAAAATTGGAAAGAAAGACTATCAAAAGAACTCGGAAAACAAATGCCTTCTACAAGGAGGACTGAGCGCTCTGACCTTTTCTGTTTTGTTTTCACTCACAGAGGGTGGGACAGGAGGAAGAGTGAAGGAAAAGGTCACAGCTCCGTCTAGAGAGCAGCTCACCTGTTCTTCGTTGGTCTGAAGAACATCACTGCTTTCTGGAACCTAGACTGGGACTGCTTTTACTTGAATGCAGTTCCAATAACTAAACAATGTTGAGAAGAGGTATCAATTTGGTCAATGTTCCTGAAAATATAATATTTTCATCTAAATGGCTATCAGCTAAGTCTTGAGTTAAATAGGGATGAAATATATTAATTTAATCAATGTGACCTCTTTATCCAAGTTGCCTTAAAGCTGAAGTCACAATTTGCTGTAAGAAGGGCTTAGTCATTGCAGCCCATACATACTTTAAAGTATCTAGACTGTACTTTGCTTGGCAAGCCAACGTTAACATCTACAAATGGGGAAGGAAACAGAAAAAGAAAAGAGTAGACGGAGCCAGGTTGAAGAGGTCTGGGAGTTTTTTCTTTGTTTTCATTAAAACTAAATTGGGCAGACACAGCTAAAGTGTTACTAATGTTAGCTTTTGATTTGTGGGATCAGCTGGACTCAGTTAATATCCCTTTGTATGGGTAGGGATGGGGGCTACATTTCTGGAAAGTGCAAAGAAAACAATAACTAAAAGCCTTCCTTTCACAGTTTCTGCGATCACTACAGATTAAGCAAAAACAAAAAAAAAAAGAGCATCTTATCGTCATCTGCTTTGGTTACATAAATGAACTTGTAAACAAATCTATTGTTAAAGACAGTGGCGCCATCTCCCCAAGAGCTCAAGAGCTCTATACGAAAACACACGGAAGACACTTGGACTTTTGTGAACTGATGTGGAATGCAGAACTTCTTTTTGACTAAAAAAATGCTGCTTAGCATGAATGACCACCATAAGGCAATCTAAAGTCATAGGTGTCACAACAAGCCAGGGTGCGTGGGTGGGTGGGTGGGTGGGTGGGTGGGTGTGGGTGGGTGGGTGAGGGGTTTGTTGTCAAATAAAATGTTTTGTTTTGAAAACATCGTGTTTGTTGTATATGACAATTTCTTCCCTTAAAATTTAGAAAATTAAATGTTATGAATGAGTGCTTTGTCTGCATGTCTATGCATTAGGTGTGACTGTTATGCCCCTGGAGGCCAGAAGATGGTGCTGTGTCCCAAGGAATTGGAGTTAGAGGCGCCACCACTATAACCTGGGTCCTCTAGAAGAGCAGTTAGTGCTCTTCTTAACTGCTGAGACACCTTTCCACCACCACCACACCACTTTTCCCTACTCCATTTTTAAAGATAGGGTTTCATGTAGCCAAGGCTAGCTAGCCTCCAGGTCCCATGTCCTCCTGTGTTACGATTACAGGCTTGCACCACCAAGCTTGTTTTCCATATGGTAGTTTTTAACTTAATGGCTTTCCCTTCATACTACTTACCTCGGGTTTCATCCCCTACATAATGGGTCTCATTATGTAGCCCTGGCTACCTGGCTGGCCTGGAATCCATGTAAACCAGGCTAGCCTCAAATCCATTGAGATCCACCTGCCACCGCCTCAGGAGTGCTGATGAGAGAACACAAAACCTTAAAGGCCTTCACCACCAGAGCTAGCCTGGTTTTTTTTTTTCCTTTTTTTTCTTTTTTAAAACTTTAAATCACCTGTTTGGCAGGTGATTTGAGGTCTCATTTCTTAGAGCTTAAGTTGTTTGGGGGAAGGATACTAAGAACACATCCAATCCAATGGAGAGAAACAAAATATCGAGCATAAAGCAGGCGGCAGTACTCATAAACAATGGTCAGATTGTGGAAATGAAAAGGCATGCTGTTGAGAAATAAATCCCTGACAGAGGGCGGGCCTCTGATAGTTCTAGAATTATATAAGAAGTAAATTCTCATAGAAAAGTTTGTACTGTAAGTAATTTATAGCTAGACATGGCTCTGCCTAGCCATAGTTAACCTGTAGAAGTGCACCAATTAACGAGGACTTTCATTTGCATCCAGTGGGCCAGGGAGGCAACAGTGAAATTTGTTCACCTGGTACTAATACAAGGAGCCAATGAGAACACAAAACCTTATCTACCACTGGTTGGTAAGAAGAGGTAGACAGGTACTACAAAGGAGTCTGGGTAAGGGAAGTACAAGAGGCTGAGGTACTCAGTGTACCAGTGTAGTGGGGGTATTGCTGTGACAGACCTGACTGTGTTTTTTTGGAAGGACTTTGGAACTTTGGGCTAGAAAAGCCATTGAGTGTTGAGATCTCAGTGGGATGTTTGGTGGGAACTTGGAAGATAAAAATACTGAGTTGAGAGCCGTGTAGAAGACGGGGGCCTGGCTTGTGAAAGGGAAGATTAAAGACTCTCTCAAGGCCGTTTGCTATTTTAAGATTTTGTGGTTCTGGTTAGCTGGGGCTGAAGAATCTGCTGTGATTAGCAAGATACCAGAACCATTAAAGTGAAACCTTTACACATTACTGGGATAATTGGTGCTGGTCAGCTGGAGCTAAGAAGTTAGTGGTGATTAAGAGGCCAGCATCATTGAGGTGAAATCTTCTGGGAAGTGTTTCCTGAGAGCACAGAGAAGCTGGGTTCCAGACAGAGATGGTCAAGGTCCTGAGTTCAATTCCCAGCAACCACACGGCAGCCCACAACTGTCTGTAACTCCAGTTCCAGAGGATCCAACACCCTCACACAAACATACATGCAGGCCAAACACCAATGCACATAAAATAAAAAAAAAGCAGGCTGAGCAAGCCAGCCAAAGCAAGCCACTAAGCAGCTCCCCTCCATGACCTGTGTGTGCATCAGCTCCTGCCTCCAGGGGGAACCTGCCCTGTTTGAGTTCCTGTCCTGGCTTTCTTCAGTGATGCACAACAATGTGGAAGTGTAAGCCGAATACACCCTTTCCTCCCCAACTTGCTTTTTGGTCATGGTGTTTCATCACAGCAATAGAAACCCTAACTAAGACAGTCTGTTGTGTTAAATCTTAACATCTTTGGAAAGTAAGTATTGGCCCAGCTCCAAGGAGCTCACAAGGCTCTATCACTTACTATTGGCAACTAAAGGATTGAGGAGTGGGGGTACCCAAATGTATACACTGATGATCCATCCCACCAGGCTCTGATTGCTCCAAACTCAGGGTCACATAGAAGCCCTATTTAAACGGTGAAACACTAAACAAGACTAGTAAATGTGAGAGAGATTTTGTAAGGAATAAGGGAGCTGGCCAGCGTAGGAGGGAAATCAAGGGGAGGGAGAGTAAGCGGAATATATTATATATACCTATTAAGTTGTCAGAGAACTAAACTTATAATAAAAATCCTATTCAAAAGAATAGTTCATGCTCTCCAGTAACAGCAAACCATATGAAGCCCATGAAGGATTTCAGTTAATGATCTCAAAAGAAATAGGATACAACTCATCATTGGATTTTCATGTGCCTCAGAATGGAGGTTAAACAGGCTAAGAATAATTTGAGTACCATTTTGTGTGGTGCTGAGGTGAGACAGGAAACATGGGTTAGAGGTTTTTTCATCAGATACATAACAACTGTGAAAACACGCTTTAGTGCCAAGAACTCCACTAAGAACTCTGGTTAAAGAAGAATCATTCATGCTTGAACTGGCGGTGCACACCCTTAATTCCATGAGTTCAAGGCCACCCTGGCCTACATATTGAGTTCCAGGTCAGCCATCGGTACACAGTGAGACCCCCATCTTTAAAAAAAGAAAGTGCATTCACACTTTTACCACTGGTAGTGAAATTCAACATTAAAAGCAACAATTATTGTCATAGGAAATCTTGAGAATGAAGTCAACGTTGTGTGTGTGTGTGTGTGTGTGTGTGTGTGTGTGTGTGTGTTTTGGTTTTTCGAGACAGGGTTTCTCTGTGTATCTGGCTGTCCTGGAACTCACTCTGTAGCCCAGGCTGGCCCCGAACTCACAGAGATCCGCCTGCCTCTGCCTCCCGAGTGCTGGGATTAAAGGCGTGCGCCACCACCGCCCGGCTAAGTGTGTGTTTTAATATAGCATTCTGACAAGGATACCATTCATTTGTCGAAAACCTGTTGGCCATCACAACCAAATCCTCACTTATGTCAATGTCTGCCAGCTACTCTGGGTTCCTATTTTTTTGTTTTTGTTTATTTGAGCGGGATTTCTTTTCATAGCCCTGGCTGTCCTGGAACTCTCTGTATCCCAGGCTGGCCTCGAACTCACAGAGATCTGTCTGCCTCTGCCTCTGCCTCCCGGGTGCTGGGATTCAAGGAGTGTGCCACCACTACCTGGCTACTCTGGGTTTTTTATGTTTTGTCTCTCCAATTAACATCAACATTCCCAGCATCACCTATTTTCTCTATAATTCCGTTGACCTTGGACTTTCTCTTCCAGACTTATTCTAGTCTCTTGAACTTTCTTCTTTTTTTTTTAAATAATTTATTTCATTTTAAATACATTGGTGTTTTGCCTGCAAGTATGTTTGAATCAGATTCCCCGGAAGAGGAGTTATGGACAGCTGTGAGCTGCCATGTGGGTGCTGGGAATTGAACCCAGGTCCTATGGAAGAGCAGCCAGTGCTCTTAACCACTGAGCCATCTCTCCAGCCCGGGACTTTCATATTTATTAGTCAATTTTCATTTTCATTATATACTTTTGTTAAGCAGTGACACAAATGATCAGCTATTTGTACATGGAACAGATAGTGTTTTATTTGCTATGAGTACTGGCTACATTGCCCTGTGTGGGTTTAAGTAGGAAGCTCAAATGTTTACTATTTATTAAAAAAACCATGTGTCCTCTAGCCAAGCTGGCCAGGACCTGATTATATAGTCCAGGCTGGTCTTGAACCTGTTGCAATCCTCTTGCCTCTACCTTTAAAGTGCCTCCATCACAAGTGTAAGCCACCATGCCCAGCTACAATCACTGTTTTAAAGGAGCCGGGAGAGCACTTCCCATTCTCACAGAGGACCTGGGTTTGATTTCTAGCACCCACATGGTGGCGCATAACCATACCTAACTCCAGTTCCAGGGGATCCTAGTGAACCCTCTTCTGACATTGGTGGGCAATGGGCACACACACAGACATGCAGGCAAACAGAACCCTCATACACATAGTCTCTAAAAAAATCTTTAAAACAAAATTAAAGTAGACCTTCTGTAGAGCATAGTTCCATGTGGATTTCAAGAGAAGGCCCTGTTTACGTTGTACTGACATACTAGATAGGTGTTGAATGCACAGAAAAGGCCATCTAGCTGCTTCAGGCACGCAAACAATTTTCCAAGTTTATTTTTGAGAAATCCAGTTACATCAATCCACTCATTATTCACCAGACCTTCTGAGATGATTTCTACTCAAGAGCACAAGACAGAAACCATTCAAATTTGACTGCATTGGGACATAAACCATTTAAAGGAAGTAATTTCAAACCAAACAAGGTCTTAAGAGTCGGGTCCTAGTTCACCAGGACTCCCATTCTTAAAAGGATTAAGCCAGTCTCTTTTTACAAGACAAGGTGCAGCAAGAAGGCAGCCACTCACAAGCCAGGAAGACAGAAAGAGTTAACACCAGAAACCAACCTTCATTTTAGAGACTTCTAGCCTCTAGAGCTGTAAGACACTAACTATTGGTTCTCAGTCTAGTATTTTGTTATGCCAATGTGAGCTGATTAACACATTAGGCAGGGGCTAGAGACATGGCTCAGTGGTTAAGAGCACTGACTGCTCTTCCAGAGGACCCGGGT